AGGAGAACCAAAATTAGTGGAAAGACTGGATGGGACAGTGCAGCTCACTGAGAAAGCAGCAAGTGCCACGCAACATAGCAGGTATGTTGCCCAGGAAGAGCTAAGTGAGTGTGTCACAAGTGCTGCTTACCTTGGAACTGTGACAGTGTGGATAAAAGGGACTTTCTACAGTTTCTGAGCTTCCTCATCCATGTAGTCACCATACATACATTAGCAGACAGTAGTGAAATCCTAGGTTTTATTTGAAGTCCTTGTAGTCTTTGCTCCAGCTGCTTTTATAATTCCTACGCTAATTCAAACAGAGCTACCTGTTGCTGAACCTTGGCAAAAGCAGGCAGACATAAACAAGACGGGCTCCCGTTCTGTTCCTGAACAGATCTACAGAAAGGATGAAAATAATTTTGGAAGTCTACTGATTTTACAAGACCTATTAGGTTCCCCCTCATATTCAATCATGTTTTCCCACATTAGTGTGGAAAACACACAACACTTAAGGTCTCTTAAAAAAAAAAAGAAAAAAAAAAAAGAAAAAAGAGCCCCCCAAAACTGTCACCATTGCTGCATCTGCTTCGTCTTGGAACAATTTAGCCTAAGACGTATGTACCAGCACTATTTTAGAATCCCCAGAGAATCATTCCTTGAGCAGGTCTCACCAGCATCATGTTAAACAGCAGGAAGACAGCTTCTAGCACACATTCACAAATGTTCCTGCTACCTGCTAAACACTAGTTGAACAAATAAAAAACAGCATTGTTTTCTGACATCCACAATTTCTTCAGCAGGTAGGGGTTTTGTACTGTATGAACTGTTCTGACATTAGGAGTTGAATCACTGCAGGGTCCCTTACAGTCACTCTGTGCTTCTGGGATGTATTTTCATAATGCTTAGGAAACAGTAGCAATAAATAGTAGTTTTTAAGGCTTTCTGCTCAATTAACCATATCAAGAAATTCTCTCCTTGGAGGCAGTAAGTCAGGAAGCCTTGCGAAAAAAGGTCCAGAAAACCTGTTTTTTTGCTTGGGTTTTGCTAGGGGTGTTAACAGCTTACTTAAAGTGAGGTTTGAAAAAGGAAAGGTTCAAGTTTACCTATACATCTCCTTTGGGTTACCAGAAGAACTCTGTTTGACTAGGAAATACAAACCAAAATCTGTTGTTGGCACAAACAACAGTAAAACTGCATGTCATGGTTTAACCCCAGCCAGCAACTTAGCACCATGCAGCTGCTCACTCACTCCCCCCCACCCAGTGGGATGGGGGAGAAAATCAGGAAAAGAAGTAAAACTCGTGGGTTGAGATAATAATACTTTAATAAAACACAAAAAAAGAAACTAATAATGATAATGCTAATAAAACTACAGCAGTAATAATAAAAGGATTGGAATGTACAAATGATGCGCAGTGCAATTGCTCACCACCCGCCGATCGACACCCAGCTAGTCCCTGAGCAGCGATTCCTCCTGTCCCCACTCCCCCCAGTTCCTATACTGGATGTGACGTCTCATGATACGGAATACCCCTTTGGCCAGTTTGGGTCAGGTGCCCTGGCTGTGTCCTGGGCCAACTTCTTGTGTCCCTCCAGCTTTCTCGCTGTCTGGGCATGAGAAGCTGAAAAATCCTTGACTTTAGTCTAAACATCACTTAGCAACAACTGAAAACATCAGCGTTATCGACATTCTTCTCATACTGAACTCAAAACATAGCACTGCTACTAGGAAGACAATTAACTCTATGCCAGCTGAAGCCAGGACACTGCATCAATTAAAAAAAAAAAAGGCTAACATTAGAAGTGATTGCATAAAAAAAAATCCAACAGTTCCCCAGGAAGCCATACTTTTTTTGGAGACTAAGCATCTTATTTTGAGTTTACTCCAAACTGAACATCTAATCAAAATAGGTAACACTACAGCATTTTCAAGTTGCCTTTAGCAGGGTAAGTTTCATTCAAGTCTAAATCCCCATCAGGCTCCATGGCAAAACCTCAGTTTAGCCATACTTCAAAGAGTTTAAAAAGTCTCTTCAAAATTCAGATCAGTTATTTCAGTTCTGGAATCACTGTAATAAATAATAGCAACTGGTTTGTTAATCATAATTCAGGTAATAAAATATCCACTGCATCCTGCTCAAAGCAGCATTTATTAAAGATAGTATCAAGATAAGTCAATGCATAATGAAGCTTTTCCTCCTACAAATATGTAAACAAGTTGACAGCAAGTTATCACTACAATATAAAAATTAAAGCTTACATTGCATTTGTTTTTAAAGCTACTAACTTCAGTCTCAATGTAGACAGTCTCTGGTCTGTAGCATTTAAAAATACAAGTTCTTGAAAAATGTTAAAGTATTGCCTTTGAACATACATATTTTTGTAGAAAAATACTTAAAAATACCAACTTCCCATTAATAAAAGCAACACCAAAGATAAAACACATCTTTTGCCATGAACAGCGTGTTAAATGCATCTAGCATTTACTTCACCATTCTGTGTAACCAAATTATCTTCTGGTCATTTTACAATTCATTATAGTTTGCAAAAAGTATCTTGGATAATATTCAGTTACTTTCACACAGCAAAACAGTTAGCATTAAGTAGCTAATATTGGCAATTACCTTGTAATCAGTCTGGCCTAAGCTTATTTGCAACTGAGGCCATCAATCCTCATCTCAAACTGGGTATTTTAACAGGTACAGTAGGCTCTTGCTAAGAAATCTATGTCAGTTCAGATATATTTTGGAAAGGCTTGAAACCTTTATATGATTCAACAAGAAATACATATTCTCTTTTAAAGCACCTTTAACCTCTACCTAAGTTTTTCTTTAACTATATTAGCAGTCCTGTTGGTGGCAGTCAGTCAATTCCCAGGAAATGCTTTGTTCATAAGATTATATAATTTGATATGAACCACATTTTACATTCCAAAACAAAAAAGAATGTTAAGTTAAATTTTGATTTTTGTTTAATATTTTTCCAATAAGTTTACTGGCAAGAGCTAGATGGATCACTTTTGCAGTTGCTAAGGCAAAAAAGTTTGAAAATTCCATGTACACAAAGTTTAAAAGATCATGGAATATTTCAAAACCAAACTAAATAAAATTCAAGAAGCAGAAAGAAATACGTATCATTGGGATGAAAGCTAATCATGCCATTGTGCTCTGCCAAACATCAGCTGACAATGAACAGCAAGGGAAAAAAAAATTGAGATAATACAGTGAACCAGTTTCAGGATGAATTCAGAGTAAAATTGAGCTGTCAAGAAAAGAATTTTACAGTAGGATATTAGACTGAAAAAAACAGCTAGGAAAACACTTCAAGTTTTATCACTTAAGACAGTATCTGAAAGAACACAAGTAGATTTATATGCAAACAGTAATGAATACGAGTAATATTGCCAGCTTTCCTAGTTCCATGCATAGTTCAGGAAAAAGAGAGTTTATTTAGCCTTTGTCACTACTTAATTAGCAAGTTAAGTCTGCCAGAAGTTACAACCTCAAGTACATAGCAACACATAGAGCAACTTACTGACCAGGAGTGTGGTAGAGCCTAAACTACTCAAATGATCTCTAGCCCTGGAAATGTGAAAAGAACACAAACCCTGAAACAGGATCTACATGAACCTGTAACAAGAACTGTAATTCTGAAAGAAGGGCTTATCCTGCTCCTTCATGCAGGATTCTGATTTATAAAAAGATGACAATTTTATTGCCATGCTTGCTGATAAAACAAACACGATAAGTTAAAGCAAGATGTGGCAGCAAGTGTTCAAGGAGGATGCTCAGTTGGAGAGCAAGAGAGATTCTACCCAAGGCCCACGTTAGTCTGATTTTCAGAGGGGCACAATGCAAATACAAAAGCCTCAGCTTCCTCTAACATCTTACATACCTTAACACACAGACAGCCTTTCCCTGCATTCAGGGAAACAGATGAGAAGCACAAACATTTCTGGGGCACAAGTGATGAACCATGCCCCAGGGAGGCTGCCTTTCTGATCACTGCCTCCCCCACCCTGAGACAACAGCTCCTTATAAAAACTAGATCACAAGTTGCAGTTTTGGTTAGAGGATGGAGCTTTTGTACTATACTCATTCAGGAGAGAGCAGCCTTCCCGTCTTCTAGTACAAAACTGTGTCTTCGAGTAAAGTAATACAAGCCTTGGCCTTTTAATCACATATGGACTGTTGCAACTTCTTACTAAAGAATTTAACTTTCTCAGAGATGTTAAAAACACTGCAATCAGTATTGTTATATTTGACCAAGACTTTGCACTTGGCTTCCAAATGCCTACAACAGCAAGTGAGTAACGTGATGGCAATACAGACCAGCTGCATTTTTATCCATACAATTCAAACCCTGGCCCAAAATCTACAGAAGACTACTTCAAATACCAGTATACATTAACAGGCCATTAAGTGCCTACCAGCAGTGAACCTGCTATAGCTGTTAATATAAAGAAAAAGAACTGCAGTAGGCCCAAGCCTTAAGAATAGTTTTAAAAGCGCTGCAGTAGACTTGCAGATGACTGTCATACCTGGGGGAAGGTCTAAGGACTGGAGTCCAACATCCAAGGATAAGAGGGATCACACGCCATTTTCTCTTCAAGAAAAGTAAAAGCATCTCTCCCCATGCCAAGTAATAAAATACCATCTACAAAAAGTGGGTGTTTTCTCCCTGAATCCACAGTAGAGATATAGTCACACAGAAAACTAAAATCAGCCTAATTCTCAGAATTGCAGAAAATAGAACCAAAGGGGACCTCAAGAAGTCATTTTGACAAGTCCCTGCCTTGAATGACATTCCAAAATTAATCTCTGTGCAAACAGTTATGCCACAGGACTCTAGGTTATAAAATAGCTGACTAAATCAGCTAGACTTTTACAAAAAGCTATTTGTATGTAAATATTTTAGTAATGAGTTTAGCAATAAAAGAGTACTACACAGCCAATTTTGGAATGCACATACGATATGAAATATACATACATACATGTTCTTTATATATATATATATATTCATTCTTAAAGCAATGCAGAGCAAAACCAAACCAGGGCTTGAATAATCTCTCATACATGCCTTCATGTCAGCATGATGGGCTGATCAGATCCCCAAGGTCTATCACTGGAATTGCTACAAGTTTTACTTACCACAATTTTAACCAAAAACTAACTTAAATCATGTTACATCTCTCTAGGTGAAGGAGGAAGAAAGACACAAACAAAACAATAACAACAAAAAAACCCCTCAGACAAAAAACCACAGAGCCTTGTAATACATAGAAAGGCACCTGATAATATTGTTAAGTGTTAGTAGCAATTATCTACAGCATCCTAAGTGTACTTAAGCAATCAAGTTAAAAAAATAATGAAATACAAGAATTGCTGGCATTCAAAAGGTAAGTCTAACCTACCTAAGAAGTCACTAAAATGACATGTGCAGCTGTAAATCAGTAAGAGTGTGCAAAACTACACAGTTTTGCATAAAGTGCTGAATGTACCCCCAGTTTGCACCTATTAGTATTACATAAGTTTGTTAAGCTTGGCAATATGATGCAAGAAGATGATCTGAAGGATGTACCATATCTACCTTGTCTTTCCTTTTCCTTCCCCACCATCATCCACTGTCCTTTAAACTGTACATTTTTAAATTACACAAAGGCCTTTTCAGGACTTGTAGTTCAGAAAATTATTTCAAGTATACCTATCTTTCCATGTAAACTTGGGGACACTATGGGTTCAATTTTCACAAGTTCCAAATACTTACAACTTCTGCTAATTCAATTGGAGTTGTATTTATTTCAGTCTGTTCAGTACCTCTGGAAAAAGGCTGTTTCCTGTTACTCATTTAACTCCCATTTAAGGAGTGTTGAAATTCATACTATAACTTGTCCAGATTTCAGTCTAAACAATATGCAGTTACAGAAAAGCAGAGTAATACTTTATCTGACCATTTAGGTTCATAAAACCAAGTCCTACCATATCTATTCATACATACTCATTATATGAATTATACACAGATCTTAAACACTTGATGCACTAGAATTCAAGTTATTATGATACAGCAGTTTGTCTTGCAAGCATTGTGCAATGCACTTAGAAGTATACAGCGGGTCTCTTCTTTACTCTGTATTTCAGTGATCCATACCGTATCTGAGGGGGGAAAAAAAAATTACAATTTAACAAAGAATCGAGATTACTGCAGGCAGAAACATTATTTACCTTTCCACTAATCCAATCTAGTAAGCATCTTTAAATGTGCTTTGGACACTCCACAGTTTCAGTAAGAGAATATACCTGTGACTGAACAAGATACAGTTTCAACAGAATTGGGCAAGAAGGGTAAGTCTCAACTGTTTTCGCAGAATTACCCAAAACCTTTTATGAGATTCTGTAGAGATTTATCCTGAAGTATCTTTAAATTTTGTGACACATGCAAATATAAAGCACTTTGAATCCTACATAGCATCTTCTCTTTGTGGCTTACAAATAAAAAGCAGGCCATATGTTTATGGGAATTAAAAACTTCTGAATCTTCTTAAACATCTGCTGTTTAATGGATTAAAGTGCGCACAACCAAGACACAGAAATGCCAATGACAATACCACTATCTACACCCCTTTCCAGGTGAGCAGCTCCTGGAATTTGGGCTTGGTGGTGCCAGAATTAGCATTACAAGCACAAAGTCTATTTCATCTCCTCTCCCTTTTTCCTCACTTCGTTCATTTTATTCATGTATTTCCCTTAAACACCCCAAAGTACGAAAGCTCCAAGCCTATTATTGTTACATATAGTATTGATAACAACTACATTATCACATACTTCCTTCTCCATTTAGCATTCTACAACCCAGTTATTGTTGATAACCTCTCTAAGATTAAGAAAAAAAAATTCTGCAGTATTGTGGTGAATGAGGTGAAATCCAGTTGGCAGCCAGTCACAAGTGGTGTTCCTCAGGGCTCAGTGTTGGGGACAGTTCTGTTTAATATCTTTATTAATGACCTGGACAAAGGGGATCAAGTGCACCCTCAGCAAGTTTGCAGACAACACCAAGTTGGGAGGGAGGGTTGATCTGCTCAAGGGTAGGAAGGCTCTACAGAGGCATCTGCACAGGCTGGATCATTGGGATGAGGCCAATTGTATGAGGTTCAACAAGGCCAAGTGCCAGGTCCTGCACTTGGGTCACGGCAACCCGATGCAGCGCTACAGGCTTGGGGAAGAGTGGCTGGAAAGCTGCCCAGCAGAGAAAGACCTGGGGGTGCTGGTTGCCAGCGGCTGACTATGAGCCAGCAGTGTGCCCAGGTGGCCAAGGCGGCCAAGGGCATCCTGGCCTGTATCAGAAATAGAGTGGCCAGCAGGAGCAGGGAGGTGATCGTGCCCCTGTACTCAGCGCTGGTGAGGCCGCACCTCGAGTCCTGTGTTCAGTTTTGGGCCCCTCACTACAGGGAAGACATGGAGGTGCTGGAGCGTGTCCAGAGAAGGGCAACCAAGTTGGTGAGGGGCCTGGAGCACAAGTCTTATGAGGAGCGGCTGAGGGAACTGGGGTTGTTTAGTCTGGAGAAGAGGAGGCTGAGGGGAGACCTTATCGCTCCCTGCAACTACCTGAAGGGGGGTTGTAGTGAGGTGGGTGCTGGTCTCTTCTGTCAGGTGGCTGGAGATAGGACAAGAGGAAATGGCCTCAAGTTGTGGCAGGGGAGATTTAGGTTAGATATTAGGAAAAGTTTTTTTACTGAGAAGGTTGTCAAACATTGGAACGGGCTGCCCAGGGAAGTGGTTGAGTCACCATCCCTGGAGGTATTTAAAAAGCGCGTAGACAAGGCACTTCAGGACATGGTTTAGTGGGCATGGATGATGGCTGGACTCGATCTTAAAGGTCTTTTCCAACCTAAACGATTCTATGATTAAAAAATGCCAAGGTACATTGTTAAAACAAACTCAATATTTAATTAAGATTATACTTGCCTCTTTACGGCCTTTAATAGTTTTCACAGATTTCATGCTCTGAGTTCTTCGAAGGCCTCTCTGAGCAAACATTTCATCCTCTGAATGTGTCCCTTCCATCTCTTCATCTGTTTTATCATCTCCAGGATTTTTTTCCAGTGGAGTTTTGTAACCTTTAAAAAAACAGTTTTATGAAAATGTTTAATAAGAAGTAGCTGTAACTTTTAGGATTTTAAGAAAGCCATGAGTTTCATCTTTAACATACATCCTTTACTCTTTTAAATGATACAGTCAGTCTGCCAGATGTTTCAAAATACCGAAACATGTAGTCTGCCAGGAGCTTGTTACTCGTAATTCTGCCATTTGTAAGTAACAAGCCACTTTGTTCCATAGGTATGCAATGCAGTGACTCCTCAATTGTCAAAAATTAAACCATCAGTTCAATGCCACCATCTTCTGCTTTACACTGAACAGCAAAAACCTCAGTGGTCATCTTGAAAAGTACTTAAGGTTTTGGCCACAATCCCCATGGGAGGGGGGGTTAGACGAGATGATCTTTAAAAGTGCCTTCCAACCCAAACCATTTCATGACTCTGTGATTCACAGTATCTTTCTTCATACTTGCATATCTCTCTGCACATTTAATACCAAAGTTCCTTTCAGATCAATACAACGTCGAAGTACTATTAAGTGGCGTTTACATCCTGCAAAAACAGGACCAAGGGTATTACCAAAGATTGTCACTAGAGGGCGCAAACTGCTTAAAAACACGTCCTGAAAAGATCCGCAGGGACCTAAAGCCCTGAATCCCCACCACAGACATATCATAAAGTCCCCAAATGTAGTCTGGTTCTTTCCCCCCACCAAGCTCTCCTTTTATAAGGCCATTCCAGAACCTACAAGCTGTAACACTCGGGGACACCTTTTAGACTCCAAACACAATTTTATGCACGATCAATGTACATTTCATCTTAAGCCAGTATTTTATTTGGGCTCAATTAGATCCTTTTCCTTTGGTCATTTTTTTTCCCCCAAATTAGAATAGTGCTTACGTACTCCACAGCTACTTAAGGCAGACTTGCCTCTTCTCCCATTCTAGAGGCAACATGTTTCTGCCTCCAATACAGTTTCAATTAATCTTTTTCAATATGGAAGATTTGAAACACAGCTGTTACTCATACAGTTTCTGACTAGGGATGTCTGCAGTGACACCAACACTTCCTCATCTCTATTTGTAACACCTCTTCTGATGCATCAAAATCGCATTTGCCTTTTTCACAGCAAGCATACTGGCAGCTCAGTCATTGTATGATCAATATCCTTCTACAACTAGGTCTTTTCAACTAATTTGCACAGGAACTCCCAAGCTCAGATCACAAAAAATAACAACATCCCGCTAAGTGCAACGAAGTATTGCTATGTAGCGTTCCTAACTATCTGTGGTTTGTTCTTTTCTTAAATCTAATGCCAAAGAAAGTTCGAAGAAAACAGGAGAGTGTACACTAGATTTGGGTCCAGAAGTAGAAACAATTACGTTAAACTAGCTCTAAGAAAGCATTTTGACATGTGAGATTCAATCTCACAATCAGTGGTTATTTACACAGTACAAACTGTACCTGAGTAATTTTTTTTTAAATGGAATTTTGAGCATTTTCAAGCTATTTCAGATAGATAACTAATGCTCTCCTACTGAGGAACAGCCCCTGCACAAGAACTGCAGTGACATCAACCCTAATGCAACTCCTGCTGAATCCATGGGCTTTCTCTCTGGTCAGTACCCCCTGTCTTTACACTGACCTGCACAGGATACCTTCTGGGCTCAATTAGCAATTCAGCTTAGGGCCATTCAGGTGGCCATTTATTCCTCAGAAACACCGATTCCTGGAATTCCTTGTACTCCACAAGCACCATCCCTCCCCAAAAATGGAGGGATGAGAAGAAATGACAGGCTTAGGTGAAAAGAACAGAAATAGACCAGAGCTATTTCTTTTGTGGCAAATAACTACTTCACATTGTAGCCTCACCATTTAAAAAGGTGCAACTGACAGCATTCCACTGAAACCTTCGCCAAGAATCATAGGCTCAAGAGCAAAGTGACAATAATAAATATTACTACTAATAACAATAATAATATCTCAGCAAAAACATATATTGGTCACCACACACTATCTTTTAAGTGTTGATGTGCATCAGTCCGTTACAGCAACTTAATGCCTGCATTACTCCTATCACCACAAGCAATTTTAAATTTTCAACTATTGTTACAGACCTACTGAATTCACTTCCATTAATTTTCTCTTCCTATTTATTGAGCTTCCATAAATTTTCATGTTTAAATTTTTGTATATTTGTCACAGAAACACCACTTAATCACTTTTTTTTTTAACCTCCAATTAAGCTTTACTTTGCCAATTAGCAACAAGAATTCCTTGCCAAAGATAGGAGTGAGTACAGTATGACTACACTGTTAGTGGCTCAGAGAATAAAATAATTCAGGGAGGATTTCTTAACTGTCATAATATAGCTTGCTTGAGTCAACTCTGTTCAAGTGTACTGGAATTCTTTGAGGCCTTTTCCATTTCTAAATGGGGTAAATGTATTTCTGCTTTCCCACTTCTGTCTTCAGTGAATTGTTCTTTTAGCTAGAAAAAAATACAATACTTACCTGAAGATTCACTTGCTGAGGCTCTGGTTTTCTTTTTTGCTTCTGGTAATGTCTGATAGGGTCTCTGTCCTACTGGCTCATCTCCTTGTATAGTAGTCAAATCATGCATACTGAAACTTCTCAGTTTCTCAGTTATCGCACCTTGACTCTGAAATACAACAACAGTATATTTGAAAACAAAGCAGAGGTTTAACTTTGCTGTTCAAGTTGGGTTAAGATGTTTAAGCCCATGCTTCCTCGTTGCACTACAAAATTCACTGAACATAAGCATGCGGTAGATTAACATTTGCTTTAAGTATTGCTTTTACCCAAACTTAACTGTATATTGCTCCTAGACAAAAAAATTACAGATAAGCTAGCAGTTTCATTACAAATGTCTCATTTCACTCCTTTAATCTGAGGAAAAAAAAAAAAGGCTTTTGGGGTGAGGGGAAGTGTTTAAAAGAAAAAAACAACATCATAAATACTCAATTCACTTCAAACACAGTGTTTCCTCTAGCAGTGCTAGGTAGCATGACAGTGGATTTATCACTTCCATTTTAAAACATGTGGTTTAAAATAAAGATTTCTGCTATTTTATATTTTACCCTCCACAAATCTGAATACACCTAAGAAAGGAAAAAAGTGTTACAAATACCGGAGTTAATGTTACAGAGTGTAACTGAGAAACTGGCAGCACTACAAAAGCTCTAGTTGACAGAAACTTGAAGGCACAAACCAAAGAGGTCTTTGCCTGGATTACAGGCTAGCAGGTTCTCTTACTAACGTAGCTTTACTGATGTAATACCAACCCAAAATATAATGCTACATATAAGGAGAGTTGATCGCATTTGAACGTTAGTATTCCTTCTCTGATTGTCTTTACATCTTTTCTACATGGGACATATAGAAAGTTCCCCTTTGGAAAGAAGGGTCGTCAAGAAGCTCTTCCATGTTACATCAGATGATACCATTATTAAAACATTGAAGGTTAATTTACTGTATAAGCAACTAAAAGAACAAGCACATTACTGAAATGTCATGTTAAAATAACATTTAATTCTTCCCTCTCTGTCATGAGCCAAAAAAAACAAACAACCAACATTTCAGAGGAAGGTTGACAATGCTGTGCATGAATCCCACTTCAAGCAAAGGTTCAAGGCTTTGTTTCATTCTTACAAATGAAGCTTTTAAATACAATTCCTCATTTGAGCATTATGTTAGCTAGCAGTAGCAGAAATCTGGGTACAATTCCACACACCTTTCTCTGCAACAGCACAAGACAGTTCTTGCACCACTGGCCACAGCCATTTGTTCCA